GTGTATTATGGGGAATTCGCAATAGAGAATGGTACCCTATTCTAGATAAAAATCCTCAATTTTTTTTTATTTCATACCGCTTTAAAATCCTATCCTTTACAGTTGTCCATATGTGGCAATAGTTCTTTCACGAGGCTATGAGCGGTAAACTACAGGGTATGATATTTAAGTTCACTGCTTAAAGTTCTAGCCTAAAAATAGAAATATGATAAAGGAAATTTTGCTAGCATAGAAATGAATGGGCAGTTAAAGTATAGTTAGTATTTGTTTACTTCTCATTTTTTATCTAATTACTATTTTATTTAGATTATGGGGAGACCATGGACAGCAGGCCCTAGAGGGAGCCAAGATTTGTTTGATTAATGCTACCGCTACTGGAACTGAAATATTAAAGAACCTTATTCTACCAGGTATCTACTGCCGTTTTTAAGAAGAAATGTTTTCCCCAACTGAGTTCACTGTAAAGCAATTCTGAAGCTGCTTTATTGAGTACCCTTTTTGGCTAGCACTCAAACTGTTCTTTCTTGAACAGTGGTAAACTATATATGTAGCTTGCATATAACCAGTTGCTAAAACCAAGTTGTTGGTTTTCTTCTCCCCCATCACCATCACACCACACTTCCAAATCCCTTTAACTGGCTGCATATTCACACAAAACATTAAGTTGGTATTAACCATGTACCCCAGGGCGGTACTCTGGATCTCAAGGGATGGAGATGATCGAAGGATTTTTTTTGATTTGAAATTTTCAATTCCGAGATTTTTTTGGGTCTACTAGGAACTTTTGGCAAGTATTTTCTTAGGCGGCTTAATTTACAATGTAAGTAGGGATTTTCGGGGGTATCCAAAACAAGGCAGTGCTTGCGTATCCTGGCCACACAATTCTGCAAATAAAGTACAAACAAACTTGTTAAAAACTACATTTTTCGTGTCATATCATTTATTTTAATGCTTTCTGGAAATTTGTAAGGCTCAGAAATTTGGCATGGAAATTTTTGGGGGTTAACGTTTGGTCAAGGAATTTTTTTTAGCTATTGTTGGAAGCCCAAAGGATTTTTTTATGTTTTGATTTTTGCCCCCATTCCATCATCCCCATCACCTGAAATCTGAAGTACAGCCCCTGGGCTATGTAGGGAGGAAGGTATATTTCACCATATTTACAAATTTTTTGTCCGAGATGTATGAGGGGTACAGTGGAACCTCGATATAACGAACCTCTGTATAACGAAGTCCTCGGGTATAATGAACATTTTTCTTTACCCCAGTAATAGTAAAAAATATGGCCCTTCATTATATTGAGGTTCCACCGTATTTGGAGTAAAAGGGAGGTACAAATGTATTTTGGGATAAGAATAGGGTGCACAGAAAATTAAGGAATTCTCTTTGGATCCTCCCCTGTTGTGGCAACAGCTGTAGTCTGCCCCTTGCAGAGGGGTATTTCTTTATGCAGCCTACATGTAGTGGTGTTCAACAAGTCTTGTTATGTTCAATTATATTTATCATCATCATCATCATCATCATTGTCATTGACATCATTATTATTATTATTATTTTTCTCTATCTATGTTAAGTGTATGTGCTTGTCTTATAATAGGGATCTCATTAATTTTTCAGAGTGCAAGAGCGGAGCATTTTATTACATTACATTACATAATTTATTATTTTATGTCCAATGTCCATTTTTCTAAGTAGGTTTCTAAAACAGTGGTTGGGGATTTTAGGGTGTTTTGTCGTGGGTTTTAACCCTGTACCTAATATAGGGTCAAGTATGTACCCCATGCCACCCACATCCTTCCAGGGGGTGCCTGCCATACTGGAACCAGCCAACAAGTAAAGTCTGCTTAAGCTTTGAAAGCAGGTTAGCCTTCTGTAAATTGGATTCTAGACAGGTTTTTTTTTTTTTGAGTTTTATTTAAATTCTCCACATTTTTTAGGTATAGGATCATTCACTATTGTTGATGGAGAAAAAGTCACAGGGGAAGATGTAGGAAATAAGTGAGTGTGATACTAAATAATAATCAGTTTCCTGTGTTCTTATTTTGTCTTGCTGAAAGGTGAAGCCTAATGGAGCAAACATTGAGTTCTGTGGACCCTGCAAATCATTCATTAACTTTGTGTTTCATTAGTTTTTGTGTTTCATAAACTAGATTTATTTCTAAACTTTAGCTCCTTGAAGCTGTTTGATTCATACTTTGTTTCATACTTTGATTATCTCTTGTAGCTTCTTTTTGACTCAAGACAGTGTTGGAAAGGTACAAAGTTTTTTATATATATATATATATATATAACACACCCTAAATAACAGTGCATTGGTAATCTAAGAGGATTTATACTTTAGGTCAATCATTCAGATGTATATATGTCATTCTTCAGTGTTATGGTCTTATAGGTACTTTTAATAGTTTACAAAGTAAGCACACTGTAAGTTGTAACAGTTAGAGCATAGTCTCAGGGCTAAAAAAAAAGGGAATTCCAGCTTGTCCTTCGGGTAAATAGCTCTCACATTTTGCTTGCTTGGGACCACTTCTATCTCATCTTAGTGAATGATTTTGTTGTTGATGATTTCCCTGGACCCTTGCCCATTTGGCAAACTAGTAAGCTTTATAAGTTACTTGGCCAACAAGAAAATCTACTTGTCCCAGACTACTGGGCAGGCCTTTTTTTCAAGCCCTGAGTCTATATGCTATTTTTTGTTCTTTTTGTGGAGTGTGCAGCTACACATATGCTATTACAAGGAGGTCCTACATGTACATTCTCCTTCATTCTCTTGATATCAGCTGGGACTGGAACAAAGTAATCTTTCTGTTGTCATCACAGTAACAAATGTGAAACTAATGCCACCATTGATTTTTTGATAAATCCCCTTTTTTCTTATTAGTCTCGTGCAGAGTGCACCACTGAGTTTCTTCTTGAACTCAATTCAGACGTCTCAGGAGACTTCATTGAAGCGGTAAAAGTTATTTTTTAATTAGTACGTTTTATGGGACAAGAAAGATTCATTAACCTTAAGCATGATGAATAAATAAACTTTGCTATGAAATGTGGCTGGCTCTAACAAAACCTTTGGAAAAACTAATAACTTGAGTGAGGGCCTTTGGAGCAAGGATACAAAAGCAGCAGTGAAATACTCTTACCATAGTCACTCTAAACAGAGCTGCCCTCAAATAACCACCACCCTGAAATAAGCGCACTGTCAGCAGCAAAAATATTTGTAAGCACCACCCTTGAATGAGAGTCACATCTCCTCAACAAGGATATGGTGCTTATTGATTTTTGACATCGTTAATGCTGAAGACCTTGTATGGCTATTACTGCTATTGTTATTTGTTTGGATTTAGAAATGGGCATAAAACATCATTATAAAATTAAGTTTCTCCCTGTGAACAGAACAAAGAAAAAGAAAGAAAAGTTACTTGCCATTTAATAGCCAGAAGTCGGACTACCAGCAAATGAAACATTTAATAAAGCACCATAGCACTCTATCGAGTACATTTTTAAATATGGTACATGTAATCTACAAGTGGTATTTAGATTTCTCTGGAAATCAAACTCTTGGTGCACTTGAGGGCAATTTATCTCATTGCTGTCCCATCTCTACTCTGCTACTTCTATTATTGTCAAGTTTTTTGTTCTATTTTGTGTGGCAAATTAGATAATTTCAGATCTGCTGAAGTTAATAACTTTATTATAATACAATTAATTTAAATGAATGTTATTCTTGTTGCATTGATTTTCTTTGTATTAGGCAGCAGATTCCCTTTTAAAGGAAAATAGTGATTTCTTTAAAACATACACTGTTGTCATAGCAACTCAACTTCCTGAAGGGTAAGTCACAAGGCAGCCAAACCAATGGTTATTAATGTTGGTGGAATTCAATTTTCATGAATTTACCATTTACATTTGTATGATAAACCTGCTTTCTCATATGCAGTAAGTGTGTCTCACACACCTGCAGATCAAAAATGCTGATCACACTCAAACAGGACAATTTTTGATGCACTATTAACTCACTATTCAGGCATACATGTTCCATAACCATTAATAATATTGCGTGCTAAGACATGGAAGATTTGGCACCTTGCCCCGCTACATTCCGTAACCTGTGGAAATCTTCGGGAATCTTCGGGT